ATAGTGCTCTCCTGAGCCACTGCCCCTCCTTGAACCTGCAGCCCCGGGGCAGCCGTGGACTAGGTCCCTGATGGACTTGGCTGGCCATGCTCTCTGTGGGTACCCGGACTATATAAAGACCCCCAAGAGCCAGAGGAAGCTGGCTGAGCCACAGACTGATGCCTGTTGCCTCGCCCTGCCCTGCCCCACTGCCTCACCTGATCTCCCCCCAACCCACTGACCCAGCCCCATGCACCAGATCTTCCAGCCCTCCATGAAAACTCCAAGCATCGCCCCGGAAGTCTCCAATACTGATCAAACTCCTGGCTATCTGACCCCTTGAGTTTTGCTCTAGACCCCCCTCTTAGCCCACCCTATCCCCCGGGCATTATGGTCCCTGCGAACTGTTCTCCTGTGATCTCCAGCCCCTGGTGCTGGCTACTCACCAAAACACCAGGCTTGCCATCCCAAAGGAGCAGCAGCTCGGGGCTGGCACGGCACTTAACACCACTGCAGTGAGATCTAGTGCTAGTGACAAGGAGACTGAGTTTGTTTTCCGAGTAGATGCAGATTGTGAGTCAGGGTATTGGCCTCCAGGGTCTACTGTGAAACATATTAACGCCAGTTTGGCAGGTTCTCTTCTGTCTCTTTAGACACCAGGCTGTGACTCCACCAAGGAATACAGCAACTTCTACACTTGAATGGGACCAATGGGCCCATCTAGCCTGGTATCCCATCTCCCACCGTGTTGCAGAAAGTCGCTCAGTTTGAGTGAGAAGGTTTTGCAATAACCTTCCCATGAGTGAGGGTCTCCCTTGCTTAAGGCACTTGGGAACTGGCTGGGGAGCAGGAACCGCAGGGCAGACAACCCTTGTTTATTGCAGGAGGTGGAAATCTGGATGATATTACAATGCTATACTGAATGATTTAATCCCTCTGCTCAACGCTGCTAAACTCTTCCAATTAGTAGCAGTGAATAAAGGGCTTTCCATTCACCCCAGGAATCTGATTACGTTTTCGCTGCTTTTGTTGAATGGCCCATTATTTATTTATCAATTGTTATTATTATTATTAATAATAATATTAATATAAGAAGAGGTCACATTTTCCAGATTTTTTTCTGCCCCTCAAACAGAAGAAATAGAGTTTCTTTTAAAAAAAAAAATCAAAACCTAGATTCTCACAGATTCACATGACTCCAGGTGCTTAGGGCTTTAAGATATACCCCAAAGATCACATGATGCACAAAAAAGTCAGGCGAGTTAGCAATGCTCTAGAAATGCCAGTGCTGTTAACTATTTCAGTACTATCCTCAAGTGTTTGCACACTGTCAGTGTATAGGCTTGTTTGTCAGCCTGAGATAGAATTTGGGGTGTGACTTTTTGATATGCTTATATGTTATACTAATATGTGTAAACAAAAGACAAAGATTAGGGATGTGCACGGCAGGTATATTTGGGCCTCCTAAGAAGGAGGAGCGGGGCATAGGGAAGGGGGACACAGGCCGGACTCTGCAGCGTCGGGGCTGGGAAGGGGAATAGACACTGCCAGCATGTAGAGCGGTGGATGTGCTTCCTTGGAACTAACCCCAATAAAAATCTCATTGCCTGCACTTCGGCCTGCTGCCCACCTGCTTTCTGTCCGCATGACAAGTACCAGGGGAGAGGGTGAAGGGTTGGCAGGCACATCTATACGCTCCCATCAGGACTAGGGTGCATGAATGGATCTGTGGAACTCATTGCTGTGTGCAATCGAACCAGCACATACTACCCGGTTCCATACCAAGTGCTCAAGCCGGTGTGGACAATACCCCGTTTGCCTGTGAATATCCAGTGGACTCATAACACGGACAACAGCACGTGAAACCTGGAGAAGCAGCTCGCTCCCACTGCCAACAACCGGACAGATTTAAAATATACACTCCAGAATGGTGTTAAAAGACCTTGACCCTGTCAAAGGAGGAGAAGCAGTTCTGGTGGTGGCCCAGATGTTGGACTATATTACAATGATCAGGGATCCTGATGTTACTGTGGATTATTATGGCTATTGGCCAGTTGTGAACTATGCTAATTTTGCAATATCTACTGCGGTGGTTAAGGGGGGCACAGACCCACAAGGTACAACCACTAATTGTCATGGAAGAGGCCCTCCACCAGAGTGTGACAGATAACCCAGACCCAATCTCTTGCACACACATTATGGGGCGTCTGGCACACTCATTGCAATATTGCGTGTCCATACGAGGGAAGGTGCAGGCACAGGGGGCAGTGGGGCAAATGCGGCATCAACACATTCCACCTTGATGCCTGGCCCTATCAGGAAATGTGTTGCCATATGTCCTACGCTTTTCCTGGGATACCTGGGCCGGCAGATCCCAGAAGAAAAGAAAAAGAAGGGGGTGGAGTGTGAGGATATACACCTGAAATAGATGTAGCCTGAAATAGAATTTTGGGTATGACTTTTTGATCCTCACACTAATATGTGGGAATGAAAGACAAAGACAGGGCGTGTTACATCTGCCCACAACCAGATGGGGGTGATAAGAGATAAGAGATGGAACTAAAATGTTACAGGTAGGGTGACCAGACAGCAAATGTTTAAAATCAGGACAGTGGGTGGGGGGGTAATAGGAGCCTATATAAGAAAAAGACCCCAAAATTGGGACTGTCCCTATAAAACCGGGACATCTAGTCACCCTAGTTACAGGGCGTGCTGGGAGTGTAATCTACGAGCATACACTGGGAGGCTGCCTGGCTCCTCTTTCCAGCCAAGATCAAGCAACCAGTTAGGAGGGACAAGGGGGTTGGGGGAGAGGCATACGACACACTAAAAGCTGGAAAAGAGCCTGGCCTTGGCCAGGACACAACCTCACTCCTTACCCCTTTGTAGTGGTGCAGATGGCCCACTCCAGCCGGGGGTGGGGCAGAAGCAGCCAGGGAGGCTGTGGAAACCTGCAGCTAATTAGGGTGAGGCTTGTTAGCAGCCAGACGGGAGGCAGCTGCTGGGGCAGCAAAGATATAAGGAGCGGCGCAGGAAAGCAAAGGGGAATCTCTCCCCGACAAGCAAGGGAGGAGGACTGGCTCCCAGGGATAGCACCGGAGATAGAGCAGTGCTGGGCAGGCTCAGGGGAGTGGAGGGGGAGCTCTGGCCTGTTACCTGGTAGGCTGCAGGCCCCTGCCAGAAAGGGCCAAGAAGGGCCAAGGGGAAGTGGCCCAGGGACAATAGGCAGACAAGGGGAGAGGAGGGCATGGAGTCTGCTGCTAGAGGGTCCCTGGATTGGGACCCAGAGTAGCGGGTCGGCCACGGAGGAGCAGGGCCGATACAGACTGCAACTTGCCCCTGCAGTGAGGGGCTAGACTTTGGGTTGTGGTTGGCCACTGCGGCAGGTGCAAGCAACAGGACTGCCGTGACCCCTGGAAGGGGGGGGGGTGAGGAAGAAGTAGTGGGCACTGCCAGAGGGCAGTGTCCTGAAGAGAACCCCGCCAAGCGGGGGAGCAATGTGGGTCTGAAACAGTACAGTAGAGCAGACAATGGGCAGGACACCACCCACAGAGGGCATGCAGGAGCTGGACTGAGCTAATCCCTGGAGCAACCAGCAGGTGGTGAGTCCTCCCCATCGTTACACCCTCCGACGGGGTACAAAAGCGATGGGACGAAGACCCCAGGCCCACACCCCTCCAAAACATAACATGACCATAAGCTGTAAGGGTTGGGACCAGAGGCATGCACAGATGGTATATTTGGGGCTGCTAAAGAAGGGGGGGGGCATGGGGAACAGAGACACAGGCTGGGCTCTGTAGCATCAGAACTGGGAACAGAACCCTGGGAAATAGACTCTGCCAGCGTGTAGAGCGATGGATGGAAGACTTCTGGTCTTCTGCTTTCTGTCCACATGGCAAGAACCAGGGGAGGGGGTGAAGGGAAAGCCCCCTAACATGCACCATCCCTCAGCGTCCCTCCCAAACCATCATGAGTTTGGTTTACAAATCAGGAGATTAAAAAAAAAAAAAGCAGTAACCCATGTGGTTTGTATTTTTGAGGCATTTCTACAGCTAGTCTATTTTAGGTACTTATCTGGCACCCATCACTGCTGTATGGAGGCACCTTGAATCTTTAACACATTTACCCTCACAGCACTTTTGTGAAGTAGTACAGTGCTGTTATCCCCATTATATAAATGGGGAAACAGAGTCACAGAATGGCTTTCACACAGTGAGATTGCAGTAGCACAGGGAATAGAACCAGGATCTATCATAGCCCTGGCAATGGCTCTAACCACTGGACCATCCTCCCCACGTAGTATAATGAGGACATAGAATGGATTTTTTAGTTAAGGCAATTCCAACAAAATTCTCGTCAAATCAAAAAAATGAAATTTTTGGCGAATCAAAAAGTCCGGGGGACATCATTTCAGGTTAAACACAATATTTCATTCGACCTGAAACAAAATGTTTTGTTTTGATCTCGAGCATTTTTTAACATTTTAAACAAAATGAAACATAAAAGAAATGTTTATTTCTTAGAAAAATTGAACACTTTCATTTTGAAAATGAGAAGACCGAAACATTCTGATTTTTTTTGTTTTGGAACTCAGTTCAGTGGAATCAGTGCAAATTTATGAAAGGTCATACCAAATAGCCATTTTTCACCACACAAAAAATTACAGTTGAAAATTTGCACTCCTTTCTCCTCTCTAGCATAAGCAGTAACATTCTCCCGATAAAAGCTGCCAGTCTTCTGTCATAATCATGTGACTCCAGGCACTTGAAATTTAAGAAAAAAACACCAACTATTTGGAGAACTTTTAAGCTGCAATTAGTTCAGGTTTTCTACACAACCACAAGGACTAGAAACTTCAATATTTTTTTCAAATGAACTTAGAGTCGCCCAGCATAACCCCATGACTCCAGAACCTGGGGATTGATGATCAAACAGCCCCAAGTCACAAGCATTGGTGATCCCCCCACTTTCTACTGGGAGGTTCTGTCCACAGAGCCTGGCCCCGTTCTACTAGTACTCACCGCCTCGGGGTTGAAGTCCTTCCCCCAATTGTCGAGGGGCTTCTTGTCGCTCTCCTCATGGGTCCCTACCAGGGTGATGGAGATGGAGCTGAATGTCCCAGCTAGCAGGAAGTTCCCGGTGGCAATGCGGACTTTGTAGGTGCCCATCGTAGTTTGGGAGGCAGGGAGGAGCGTACCTGGTGGGATCCCTTGTCTGGCTGGCTGTCCTTGCCAGATATCCGGTGTTATCTCCCAGTCGTGCCCGACTGCTGGTTTTTATATTGCCCTCATTAAGCAGCTGGTGATGTGAGTGGTGAGTTCTTCCATGAATCAGCCACCCCCAGCACTGGGGGTTGGACACAGGCAAAGGGCGGTGAGGCTGACTTGGCTAATTTTCATTTCTAATGAATGCTTAAGGACGCCTCCAACCGCTGCCCGCATAGGGTGATAAAAGAAAGCGGTGACAGCCCAGATGTTGGACTAGATTGATAACTGGTATATTTCTGATATGGGAAATGTAAGAAAGAGTGACTCCACAGCAGACCCCCAGGATTTGGACTGACCATTAGAAAGAAATATATCTCTCAGCCGGCTCTCTCGACCTGCTGACTTTGTGCTAATTGAAACAGGCCTGCCAGTTTGCAAGGTCTGACTTAGAGAATTTTTTCACTTCAAGGTCCCAGAAACAAAGGCAAGGTTTTCATCTCGAGGCCAAAAGACCAAAACATCAAGACACTTGATCACGGCCTTGGATAGGCCAAGAGACTACCTACACTTGACCAGAGCTCATAGAGCCGAGAAAAACATCCAGAGACAAAGAGTTTGCTGGTACAACTTTGTTTTCCTGAACTCTGGAATAAGATGTGTGAACCCCCCAGTCTTGCATGCTTATCTTGTTCATTTCCTTTTAGATATAACAAGTGGGATGAATAGACTTATTGAAGTCTGCCATGTCCCACTGATTTTAGAATGGTTTTGTTAAAGGATGGGTAGGTGATTAAAATGCAGATGTGACAGGATATACATTGAAGTGTGATTGTATGTATGTATGATTGAATGAGGAATGACAGATTAAAGGTTGAGGTGCCAGCCTTAAAATAAGTTCGTCTGGCTGAAGAAAGCAGTGGACGAGATAGGCTGATAACCCTGAGGGCATACTTGCCCCAAGGACAGGAGGGCGGAAGAACAAGATAACAACATACTGTCATTCCATCATTGCTGTGCCATCTGCATGATTCACTATCACCTCAAATGTGAGAACAGCATGATGAAGCAAACCCTATAAACTTGTATGAGGATAAATCCCTATAAGAACAGACCCTGAAGACTGAGGACTTTGGGTCTGATTCTGCAAACCAACCTCCAGGAGCATCGGATGCGCATCTCACAAGACCCTGCTCCACCCTTGTGTCCAGGCCACCTGGCCAGTGACTTGGCACGAGCAACTCCTAGGCTGGGAACTATAACAACTTTGCAGAACTTGTGTCTGTCTGTCTGTCTCTCTGTGTGAGTGAGTGAATGAGATGTTAAAGCTATAACTGATTGCTTACTCTGATTCTTTCTGTACTCACAATAAACATGGCATTTTGCCTTATCCCCTTTAAGATCCTGCTGGTTTTTATTTTCTTGGTATAACATTTTGGTGGAGAATTGCAAAAGGGGGAATATTGGCATATGTTTTGGTTATTGTGAAAATTGGTGTGCACACCACCAGCTCTAGAGAGCTTGGCACTTCTATCTTACCAACCAGACAAACTCTGAAGGATATAGGAGTTTGTCAACTCCCTAGGTCTTGAAGGAGATATATACAGACAGGGGTAAATCAACCTCCTTGCCTTAAAGGATATATATCGGCAGAGGTAAATACTATTCAGCTACGATTTCAGAATCCAGGCTGTGTCCCTCGCTGACCTGTGTCAGGGGTGATGGGAAAATTTGATAATCTACGATTTCAAAATCTAGGCTGTGTCACTCGCTGAACTGTGCAGGTGTGACGGAAAAGTTTGAACAAGCTTTTAAAAAATGTTCAAGAAAAGGCAGGGTAAGCTTTTGCCTGAAGGGGAAGTAGAACTGGAGGTGGTCCCAACCTCACCTGTTGTTAAGGAAATCACTCCTTTTAAACAGTTCTTGTTCTGTTAATCCAAACTCTGAAGGATATGGGAGTTTGGGCAGTGTAGTATTTTTTGTGAGTGATGTGGTGATTTAACAATTTGGAAAGAAATGTCCAAGGAAAGGCAGCAGGACGGGGGGGGCTAGTTAAGGAAGGATAGCTCAGTGGTTTGAGCATTGGCCTGCTAAACCCAGGGTTGTGAGTTCAATCCTTGAGGGGGCCACTTAGGGATCTGGGGCAAAATTAGTACTTGGTCCTGCTAGTGAAGGCAGGGGGCTGGACTCGATGACCTTTCAAGGTCCCTTCCAGTTCTAGGAGATAGGATATCTCCATTAATAATGAGCCCACTCTCCCTGCTAAATTGGTAGTGGAACAAAGCCTCTGCCCATGAAAAGGGACGGTTCAGTGAGGAAAGCAGGATTAGGCCCAGACAAGCAGGCAGGCAACAGATAAAGAAATTAGAAAACAGGTTGGAAGCCCTGAGGGCATAGTGGCAGAAGTAAGGAAAGGAGTAAGTGAGTACAGCTGTGGGAAATTCAGATCCCTGGGACAATGCTTGAAATGGTAAAATCTGAGTTGATGAAAGTGTCATTTTGGGAGATAAGCAAGTGATTTAAGGAAAGAGAGTGAAAAGTTAACTCTGCAGATGCTGGAGGGAATTAAGCAGTTAAACTTTGTGAAAATGTTAAAAAGGAAAAGTGTTAGAGAAAAAGGATTCTTGGTTTCTTTGCAGCCATTCTGAAGGGGAAATGGGCCCTTCTCCAAAGGAATGCCTGTAAATAAGCCAGGCAAAGAGACAAGCTGATTGAAATCATTTGACTATGGACAATTTAGTCATATTCGCTAAAAGAACATAAGGGGTTTCTATTGGAACTTAACTTCCCCCAAATGTATACAAATGTAATCTATGGACAGCTGTGTAAAAATTAAAGCAGTGTAAGGGATGTTAAAAAAATAAAGAATGTGTGGGTGTATTGATATATTGAATAAAATATGTAAGGTTCTAAGGACCAATTGGTTTTGTTTTCTTTTGAATAATGTCCCACAACATGTGCAGTATATATTGTACAAGGGGTGAAAGAAATGCAAACATACCATGCTACTTAATTAAAATCCTATGAGGGCTCCAAAGGGAGCCACAATAGGTTGTGTTTTCTCTTTCAGATGGCTGTGTGGTTTGGAAGCAGGAGTTAAAAGTAAAAAGTAATCAGAACTCTGGTGAAAGTTGATTGTGTCCCTTTTAAGATAGAGTCTCTGAGCTGCTGATGGCTTTGGATCCAAAAGCAAGCCAGAAAGCATCTGTGTTAATGCAAATTACCTAACTAATAAAGATAGAAGCCATTGAACCCTGGCCTGCCTATAGAACAAACACAGGAAAATATGGGGGTAATTCCTCTGTTTTGCCTGCAATCAGCAAGGGTATTTGTAAAAGAAAGGAATATTTTAAGCAATAATCTGCCACCCCAAAAGGGGTAGAAACAAGTTATTTTTGTCTTTCCGAAAATCAGGAAAAACGGATACCAGCTGAAGAGCAACCCAAAATACCATGAATTTGCTGTCACAATCGAAATTGTGTTTTGTGTTCTATGTTTTGTCTTGTGGTGTTTGTCTTGTTGCTAGCACTGTTGTGTATGAAAAACTGCTGCATTAGGCAGAAAAGAATTAAGCATTTTAACTGTATTTACAGAAGCCAATGTTGCAGAAGGGTGGAGGTCAAGGGATGCCAGTCCGTTAACAGGGAAACATCCTCAGGTAGCAGACATCATATTAAGAGGAATTGGTTTTGGAGCGGGAATTCTAAATACTGTAGACCTGAAGGTAACTAAGAATACATCAAACTCTCTGTCCCAGCTACAGGACAGCCTAATACAGAAACAAATAGAAATGAAAAACCATACTGCTATGTCTATGGGATGTACTGAAATGCAAATACTTGCTTTGTCCACCTTGGAACACAAAATGTTTTGGGTAATATCAGGAAACACCAAGGTTTTGATACACTTGCTAAAGCAAAGAAAAAGATCTCGGTTTGATACTTATCAGTACGAATAGATGCAGTATGTTTCTAGCATAGTAAGGCCAGACCTTTTAATTGGAGAAATTGTTGTTAAAAATCGCACACCAACAGGCTCTGGAAGCAAAGATATGGAAAGTTAGCCCACTCCTCATATTGCATGTGGGATCCTTCTGGCTACCCTGGACCTCGAGCCAGTGGGCTGGGGAGGGAGGGAAGCTATTGGACACCAGAGGTTGTACAGAGTGGACTCTGTGACGGGTTGGATCACAGAAACTCCCTTAGGAGCTGCCACCCGATGTGCAAAGACTACCCCTGCTTCTGTTTCCCCTGCCAGCTCAGGACTCCAGCACCCTGTCTTGCTGAGCCAGACACTCCCGTCTGCTCCAACACAGACCCAGGGTCTGAATCACTTGTCCCAAAGCTGCAAGTTTACCTGAAAACAGCTCACAGAAGTGTGCTTGTCTTTAGCACTCAGATGCCCAACTCCCAATGGGGTCTAAACACAAATAAATCCGTTTTACCCTGCATAAAGCTTATGCATAAATTGTTCACCCTCTATAACACTGATAGAGAGATATGCACAGTTGTTTGCTTCGTGTGACAAGGTAGGGCCTCACCACCGCAGCACCTCCTACTGGTCATCTCGGGGAATTGGTTCGATCCAGTAGAGTGCCCCCTTCTGGTGGCATCCCGTCTGTCATCTCGCCTTTGGTTGGCGTGTGGACCTGCGTTGCTCCCAATGCACAGTGTCCTCTTCTGGAACACTGTCCTCTGACAGTGTCCCTTTGTCCATTCACACCCCCTTCCGGGGGCTGGATGACCCACAGTCCTACACTTCCAAGTCCAATCCCTACAGTCCAGGATCTGGTGTAGTTTCGCCTGGCCGCTCCCTGCAGCCTATGGCTGGGTGTACTGCCAAGGGGAACAAAGGGGGGGGACCCAGGCCCACCCACTACTCTGAGTCCCGGTCCAGAGACCCTCTAGCGACAGCCTCGTTGACCTCCTTCTCCTTCCTCCTCTGTCTGTTCCTCTGGACCGCTT